ACGGCCGGCGGGTGTGATGGGAGCCACGGGGCCACCGCCCACGCCACCGCTTGCACCCTGCGCAGCCTGACCCACTTCCCAGCAGCCACCAACGCACCAGCAGTGCACGCACCGCCGGGCTGCGGGCAGACCAACACACGGATGCTGCCCACCCGTGGCCCAGGTCCCTTTGGGTGGGTGTCCCTCTGCAGGTGTCTGTCACCCAGGGTCAGGGTGCCCCTGCGGGTCTGCAGGGTGTCCCTGTGTGGGTGCCCCTGGCTCTCTCCAACTGTTCCTGTGGGCGTGTGGCCATGGCTGTGCCTGTCCCACTGTCCCTGTGGTCCCTCCCCAGCTGCCTCCAGACATCCCTGCATGGTCCCTGCCCAGGCGTGGGTTGTCTCCAGGCTGTCCCTGCCCAGGCATCCCTGGGGCGTCTCAGGGGTCTCCCTGTGCAGGTGTCCCTGTGTGCCTGTCCCCCTCTGCCTGCTCCAGGGCTGTGTCCCCATGCAGGGTCTCCGCCAGCTGTGTGTGTCGTGTCGTCCCCCCCCCGCCCCGGTGTCCCTGGAGCAACAGGCAGACAGAAAGGGGCAGAGCCCTTTCCCCACCCTGCAGGGGATTAAGAGGGGCTCAGCCCAGCTCTGCCTAATCCTGGGGATTACATGGGCTGGGCCTGGCTGGGGGACGGGTCACCTAGGGGTGTCCCCCTCAAGGACACGGCACAAGGCAGTCAGGGACAGGAAGGGGGGGGAGTCCCCAGCAGCATCCACCGGCACCGCTGGGTTGAATGTGTACCCCAACACATCACCACGGGGTGGATGGGGGCAAGGGAAGCAAACCAGCTGGCCCAAAGCCTCCAGTTTATTGGGGTGAGGGGGAGTGGAGGGCCAGGGGGACTCAGGCAGTGCCACTGCCCTGCTGCATGCGCTTGAGGAGCTCCTCGTCCTGCAGCGACAGCTCTGTCAGCTTCTTGCCCATCCTCTCATGGACCTCCAGGTACTTGGCCACGCAGCGGTCCAGGCACACGCTCTCCCCCTTTGACAGCTCTGCGTCCTTGTAGTGGGGGGGGACGCACTTTCGGTGACACGCCTGCGTCATCCTGCATGGCACCGGCACTGTCAGCCCCTGCCACGCCAACCCCGGGCACCCCCCAGCACCCCAACACCTCCTATCCTCCCAGGGCCATCGC